ATATTGCAAAATATTTTTTATACGTGTTACATTTTTATGTAAAAAAAATCCTTTTTTTTTATTTTTAGGTTTATTTTACTCAGATTTTTTTTTTTTGACTTATGAAAATAATAGCAATGTCAATATTTTTTTTATAAAATAAATGTTTTTTGTATTAGCTATCTTAGGTTTTTCTTATGTTGAGATTTATTTGTAATGTAAAGTTAGTTTTACTATAATGCTTGAGGTATGAAATTTTTTTGATCTTTTACTAGGTGTCTGAGAGGAAGCTACCGCCTACACCTCCTAGACAGCTTACTTTATATGAGAAGCTAATGGCATCTATAAAACAAGAGCACAAGTTTAAACCCACACCCACAGCCTCTCCTGTGCCTGAAAGGGTAGGAAAAAGGAAAATTAAGCAGAATTATGGTTTTGTTTTGAAATAACATATTAAAAGAGTGAATTATTTATGTTACAATTAATATACTACCCAGATAGCAAAATAAGGTTTATTTCCAGTAAGCAAAAAACCTTTTAATGCAAACTTAAAAAGGTTTGTAATGAGGTTTACGTGTAAGCCCTCGAACCTTAAAACGAGGTCTGCGACAATCTCCTCTATTCTACGCACATTACCCTAATCCAAAACCTTGGAAAACAACCTTCTATATAAAAACCTTAAATCGAGGTTGTCTTTGGATTTTCAATTGGGAAAAAAACCTTAATTAAAGCTAGTCACTTTTAGTTAATCACTTTTTGACTCGCTCAATTTACGACGATGGTATCGTAACGCAATGTAATGTTTCGATTGTATTATTGACAGTTACTGATATTGATTTTCAGTTGGATTTTAAATATTCCGATATATTTCAAGCAGTATGGAAAATTTGAATCGGACATTTGAGTATTTGCTTTTTAAGGCAATAATTCCATAGAATTTTTGAGCAGTTATTAGTATAGATTTCTCCATAGTTATTAAATCTTACATTTTTTATTCAATAACATTTCGATACAACAACCTAATCTTGAAAAGAAACCCCTTTTTGAAGAGTTCTATTCTCGTGATTTTGTCCTCTATCTTTTTTTGGACAATTACCACTACGGATTTCATGATTTTTAATTTTTTTTATTGTGATAATTATTTACAAAATGCAAAAAAGGAAATAACTTAGGTGGGTGCGTTCACCCCCCCNCAAAATGCGAGAATACCACCCATAATATTAGAATAAAAAATTATTACATGCTCAATTTAAAAGAATTCTATAGTTTTTTTTTTGTAGTTGTAAGCAAAGCGCTCTTGTTATTTTAAATTAGTAACATACATGTTTGTTATTATTAGAAGTATCTTGCAGAAAGATATTAGTGCTGGAACATTATGTCCCAGATAGCTCTATAAAATTTTGCCACAGGGCTATTTTTTATGTTAAAATGTTCTTCAAGAAAAACAGTTATAAATATGTGTATTTTTGCATATTTTATTTTTAGTTGAAACTTCTCGAACAAAACTAGAGGGCGCAGATGATACGCCACAACCACAAAGACAACTTATTAAAACAGACATTAGTTTAGGTTTTTCTTCAAGTTACGAGGCTATTTAACAGCCAATGCTTTTTTTTCTAAAAGAAATAGCTTTTCTCTTCTTCATTTTCTAGATTTCATTAAAATAAATTTAGGTAGTTTTTGTAATTCTAGATTTTATTTTAATAAAATTACTTGGATTTTGTAATTCCTGATTTTATAGGAACAAACTTTTTTTTATAATTCTAAATTTTATGGAAGCAAAGTTAAGTGGATTTGAAAGTTCCATATTGTATTAAAACAAAATCAAGTGTTCTTTATAATTATTATTCTAGATTTTATTTTTAAAAAAAAGTTGGTGAATTTTATGATTGCAGACTTCATTCAAATGAAGTTGAGCAATCTTTTCATATTCTTAAGAATTGAAAATAATTGTTACTACTTTATTTTCCTGAAAATAACTAGATTTGGCAATTTTATCCTGGTGTTCTAATTTAAACAAAACTTCTGTATGTATTCGTATATTTTGAAAAATTTTATGAAATCTAAAGAATTCACTGTAAGAATCCCTGTCAAAATGAAT